TTGTTGCAAGTGAAATTTGTTGAGGATTGGCAAGAGCCCTTCCATTTGCTTGGAGGTGGACCATATCCTGTGTCATTGAAACTCTCGGATTCAGGCCAAATCCCAGTGTCAAGCATTCCAACAATGATGTCGCTTTCAGCGCCTCTTTGAGCTTCTTGAGGGAAGCCCATGAAGTCCCATGATCGGGTTGTGTGGAGTTTCTTCTTTTCATTAGGGAACACGGACACTACTCCTTCCATGCCTGAATTTTTTTTGAAAGTTAAAGCAGAGTTAGGAGAGGATGGGGAGGACAAACAAATCATGGGTGATAGATTAAATAATTAAATGATATTATAAATCACCCACTGGCAATTTGCTCCTTCTCTTCCTTTGTCAGCTTTGCTACAAACCCACTAAAGCTCTTCTTGTAGCTATAGAGTAAAGATTCCGATGCCCTACTGTTGAACACCACCATTAAAGAAGTTGGTTAATATAAATTTCTAGGGATGTACATGCATTTTCTTCTGCGAGATAATATTGGGGCTATAAAAGGCATTATAGTAGACATTGTCATCTTGTTGGACATTTTAACATTAGTTTCTTCTTGGATTTATGTGACTATTATGAATGTCTTATATCAGAGAAATTTAGTGTCGGTTGGGTACTTACTACTTAGTGTGTGAGAAAATTTTACATGTCAAAGTTTATTTCATCTCATCATGAAACTTGAAATCGAAATATCAATTCCTAAACTATAATTTTCATGTAATTATTATTGGTACTACATATGAAGTAGAGTAAATTGTAATTATCCATCTTTTCGGACTCATCTCTTCTAACAATTGCTTGTTTCTTTATACCATTAAAATTTTGTTACATAATTTTAAATAAATGTCACTTTCTGGAAAAAAAAAAATTAAATAAATTTCTCCTCAATTATTATAAACATTTTGCAGAAAGCAGAGTAACTACTCTAGAGGTTCTTGTAAACGGGGAATAAATTGTTTTTTATCAACATACTTTCGTACTTGCCAAATAAAAACATCTAGAGGATATATGGCACTTTTTTTCTGACAGCTTGGAGAGTTTTTTTCATTTATTCAAAAGGTGAAATACATAGACATACTTCCAATGGCAAAAGAAATTTCTAAGATTTTAACTGGCTGATGGAGTTTTTTGTTTGATTGAAGAGGACAATGATGAGATTTAAGAGGATATTAAATATAAAGAAGGAAAATAAAAAATAAAAACGTATTGAATATCACAATCTTCTTTGCCAGTACAGAACCTTTCTTTCTTATGTTATTACTTCATGGTTAACAATTTGTGCCAGAAGGATTCAATGCAAATGTGACAAGAAATTGCATTGAGCATGTTCAATTTTTTGAGTACCGCATTACAAAACACCACTTAAAATCATATTAACTACTGACTTTTGACATGTTTATATATATATATATATATATATATATATATATATATATATGGTCTCTACTATATATACAAGTATATGTAGTGACCTGCCAACAACTTCTTGTAGCGTGCTCGTATGGATGGATGATGCAGAGATTTCACCCTTGGGAAGATCACCCATGTACACAATGTATACCTGCAACCACAAAATTATCAATTCTAAATAATTCTATCAGCACTGACGTTTCTAAACCAAGATCAAATAATTAATCTCCATATTTGTGTGGGTGTCAATGTTGCTTCAGAATTGGTTCTTTAAGCACCATATCAACCTTTTTTATTTCAACCAGAGAATATCATGATCCATTTAAGCATGGTAGATCAAAGTCCCAAGGCAAAAACAAGCAATATTTTGTTCTAATTATTCAGCATTGCAATAGTATATTAGGTTCAGCCCAAGGCCTAATCTTAAATAAGCAGAATGTATCCAGAAGAAAGCTAGAAGAAGCTATTCCAAGCCAAAGGCCTGTAATATAGCGAGCACAATGCAGGATCAAATTAATATATATATTTGGTATCATCCTCGAAACTGAGATATACCGTAAGATCAATAACATAATACGAGGTCTCACTACCAACATCTTGGTCATATAAAAAAAGTAATCTTTATCGATGAAGTTTGTTGATAATGCAACTAACTAGCGGCGTTCATGGCATAACCAAGCTCTAAAAACCTTAAAAGCAATATGAATCATAATATAGATATATACATGCCTTTTGATCTCCATCAGATGCTCTGATGCAGCTAATAAGCAGAGCACAAGTAATGCTCATCAGGATAAGCCATGAAGGAGAGGTTTGACTAGCCATTAGAGGGGTGTCTCAAAAGCTTGAGCTCTTTTGCAGATATTTCCATGGAACGAAGAATGGGATTTTATAAAATGAAAAAAGCACATGTGGAACTAGTACTCCACACATCGGTTTCTCAAACTGAAATTGTTACACCCGCCTAACAAGAAAACCCGTCCAAAGCCGGCTTTAACAATGTATTTGTCTGAATTTTTATTTGTCTGAATTTCTCCTACAGAAAGTGATAAGAAAGTACCAATGATTGACTTTTTCCATATCTTTCAAATAGAAAATGACATTTGTAGTGGGAACATTATGTCCTCTTGTGGTGTAGAAAACTGGAAGGTTGGATAGACACATTTGGCATACACAAGGTAAATCATCATTGGCCATCTAACTTGGTTAATATGGAAATATCCAATGCTTTGTGCAATGAAAAAAAGGTTGAGTTGATAAATTTGATGAGGCAAATTCAAGTCTTGAAGTCGTCATTTTTATACAAAATAAAGTAGGCTTTCTCTCCAAAAGTCCACATCATTCTCTAATCTTAACTTTTTTTTGGAAGTTCAAGTTCGAGCTATTCATGAAAGTAAAATGCACTCCTACTCAAGTAATTATTTTATAATAAGAAAATAGTTGATAATATTAAAGATTAATGACAGATTTAATTATTTCTATCTTCTTATCATTTTTGTTTTTCAATATTTGTAGGAGTCTCATCATGGTAACCTCCCACAAAGTGCACAGGAAGGAACGAGTTCGAATATTTTCCTCATTGTTAGAGGAGTATTCGGAAAGCTATTTGAAAGCTTGCACAAGGTACTTTTTGTTCTTCCATTTAATTATCAAACTTTTGCATCATGTGGCAACACAGTAGACTTGGTCCATCACTTATCTTTTGAGCGAATTATTTGGGTAATTTACACTCGATTACCCAGGTAATTATTTTACAATAAGAAAATGGTTGATAGTGTTAAAGATTAATGACAAGATTTAATTATTTCTATCTACTTATCATTTTTGTTTTTCAATATTTGTAGGAGTCTCATCATGGTAGTGCACAAGAAGGCAATGAGTTTGAATATTTTCCTCACTGTTAGAGGAATATTCGGAAAGCTATTTGAAAGCTTGCATAAATTACTTTTTGTTCTTCCAGTTAATTATCAAAGTTTTTGTATCATGTGACAACTCAGTAGACTTGGTCCAATGACTCATCTTTTGTGCAAATTATTTGTGTAATGACAATTAATTGGGAGATAAATTATATCATTTGTGCTTAGATAATGATTACATAGTTATTCAGCTTCAATATAACATCACAAAATTTTCAGCTTGTTTTTCCATCATTTTCTCAATTTATTACAATTTTTGTACTTGTTAAATTAATTTATTACAATTGGATTCTACCCAAATGTGATGTACAATTAAAGGCAGGCTGGATAGAGAGCAAAGAGAGTGGTCTTCTGGAAGCGAAGCAAAGCAAAAAAAAATAATAATAAAATAAGTGTTCTGCCGACACATTTTCATCTTCAATACAACGCCACAGATTTTATTTTTATTCAATTTATTACAATTTTTTTTACCTATTAAAGTAATTTATTACAATTAGATTCTATGTACAATAAAAGACAAGTCATAAAAATGGCTGGAGAGAGAGCAAAAGGAGTGATATTTCGGAAGCAAAGCAAAAAAAAAAAAAAAAACACAAAAAAACACAAAAAAAAAAAAACACAAATGAACAACTGCTCTATCCAAAAAAACAATCATATTGCCGGGTCAAATCCATTTTAGTTGGGTATTATCCAACTTAAGTTGAATAGGGTTGAAGGACACTTGTCATGTTCCTTATTAAGCCACATACCCAGGTTGGACAAACTTCATCCAACCTTTTTTAGGTTGCAGTGTTGCCCTTTCACTTGGAACAATACAATTGTAGTAGACCTAAGGTGAGAAAAAAACAATAGATTTGTTGGTGTCCCCACCAAGAGAATACATTCCTTGGTAACTTCAAATACATTATTATATAAACTATATATGATTCATTAACGACATTATATGATTCATTAAGAATAGGTGACAGGAGTATAAAATTTCGTACTAGGAATCTTTCTCAAATTAAATAGCTATTCATTTGGATTTGCACCGGCCAAGATTCCTTGGTTACTTTCCATACATTTTTAAATAAGAATTGATGACAAGAGCATAACATAATGGCCGCTTGATTTGCGAGTCAAAAAAGCAGTTATCGGGAACTGTTTTCAAAAGAATTATACGGGATATTTTTAACATAAGGGGCGCTTGATTTGCGAGTCAAAAAAGCAGTTATCAGAAACTATTTTCAAAAGAATTATACGGAGTACAAATATTTTTTTAAAAAATATTTTTTATAACTGAAATTTTAGAAGTAAGCAATTTTTTTTTTTACAATTTTCTGATTTTAAATTCTATAAAAACATATCATTAGTAGCTCAACAGATAGATCGCTTCCTGTTGTCTTTGCTAACCCGATTTTGAACTTTCACACTTTTAACTTCTAATCTTATACATCATTCATTTTATGCCTTACAAATCAAGCAAGCCCTAAATTTTGTAGTACATTTTTGACAATACATGTGTGTCTCCCCGAGAGGCTACATTTATTGCAAATTTCCATACAATATTATTATATACACCATATAAGAAATTAATAATTGATGACAAGAGCATAAAATTTTCCAGGAAACATCCTTCTAAAGGAAATAGTTCATATTGAAAAAAACTGAAAATAACAAACCCTTGAATTACTTGTTCTTTTCAAAGACTTTAAAGTGAAACCTCGCATCCCTTGATTTTTGTTCATCTACATTTGTCTGACATGCCCACCAGGAGGCTACATTTACTGTCAACTATATACATATAAAATAAACCAGCTAAGAATAGATGACAAGATGCATAAAATTTTAAGAAGATGACCCTTAATTTAGCTTGGAAATCATCCCATCATTCCTCCATTCAGACTTAAGAGGAAGCTTATTCAAAGGAATTCTAACAACGGAAAATAGAAAATTCTTCGGTAATTCTTTTCCAAGGAAATATTCAGGGATTCCAAGAATTGAAAATAGCGAACACCTTCAATTATTCTTTTCAGAGACTTTGAAGTGAAATCCGTTTGGGAATCTCATCATAGGAGATCGCATCACCTCACATCCGTTGATTTTTGTCCATCTACAGTAACAAAAATAGAAAATAAAACTGGTTAATCCAACATGCATTCAGGCTTGGCCGATTAAATGAGCTTATATACACAACTAAGATACACAACTAAGAATGCGACAACATTTGTGGGTTCACAACATAAATATAAAATGAGTGTTTTATAACATAAATATAAAAATGAGTGTTTTATATGTTTTGGTTTGTTGGTGGAATATATATATATGTGCGTGTGAAGATAACACACACACACACATATATATAAGATGTAATAATGGAAGGGATACACGTGAGGTCCATATCATAAATATAAGATGAGAAAGATAAAAGGTGGTTTGGTGTGTGCAGATAGATATATATATATATATATATATATATATATATATATGTGTGTGTGTGTGTGTGTGTGTGTGTGTGTTAAGATGAGTCAAAACGTGAAAGTTTGCCGAGCAAAGTGAGTTTGCAGTGTGAGTTTAATAACTAATAAATGTGCTGAAAAAAATAAAATAAAATAAAAAGGCAGGAGAAGGGTTTGGTTAAAGTCGAATATTGCAAGTTATAGCTAAAGTCCAATTTGTCTAGCAAACTTGCATATAAATATGTATGATGTATTGAAAAGAAAATCACCCATCTTGAAAATGAAAAATTGAGTAAGAATTATAACACTTTTGTGTTTAGATTTTTTGCTCTGTTACAATTTGAGTGTGAGATTTTATCTTTTAGGTTCCGCAAAGTTAATGTGCCTCTTTGAAGTGTTTGGATAGCAGAACACTAGACAAACTTAATTGTTAAAATTATTTTGCACAAAGTGGTTGCCAACATGCAACTATATACTCTAGTCTTTACGTACAGAAAGTATTAAGAAGAAAAATACCTGTATTTTGTGACCAAGACATGAAGAAAGGTGGCTATAAACACCTTACTATACTCTGAGCCTGCACATTGCTTCATGCCTGATCCAAATGGCATGAAGTTCTTAGCTAAAACAGATGACTCAAGGTCCTGTTTTTCATTTAGAAACCAAAAAATAAAAATATGTCAATTGATTCTACAATCGAATGCCACTAGAAGTTAGTATACTTCATGAAAATGAAGAAATTTAAAAGGTAAATAAAGCCTGATTCAATGTTTAGCAGCTCATGATCGAATATCCCACCTTCCAACGCCTTGGGTTGAATTCGAGTGGATTCTCAAATTTGTCAGAGTCCAAGTGAAGAGCAGAAGTGGCAAGCACAACTACCCAGCCTTCAGGAATTGTGTATCCTGCAAACAGATATCCCAAATAGGGATCAATTTCAGTTCAACTCTGCAAAAAAAAATTGAAAAAATTATATCAATTTTTGCGCGAGTGTACCTTTTACTTTGATATCTTTTAAGGCTTTTCGAAACATCCCCAGTGCAACATTTGCCAATCTAAGAGTTTCATTGATAACCTGTAATATATAATAGACCAGCGGGTTCTTAAGTACATCAATGTAGGTTATAATAGAACAAGAAAGCACTTAGAAAATTGTGTAATTCACCTTAAGTGTAAAAGTCATCGACTTATACTCTTCCCATGTTATTGGGGAATTTGAATTGTCTTTGTTTTTAAGGACTGTCTCATGCTCAGCCTGATGAACAATTATTAGCAGTATAACCGAGCAACAAAATTATATGTAAATGTAGCTCGAAAATCCCTAAAATATAGTTAAACATACAGTTAATTCCTCTAACACCAAAGGATGTTCCAAGAGTAACTTCAGAGCTAATGCGATTGTCATTGAAATGGAATCAGAGTTGACGAATAAAAGACCAAACATTAGTTGAATAATGAAATCCTCTGTCAAGAACTTCTCTGTGCTCATGTCTTGAATGACACGATTTAGCAAGTCCCTTTGATCACTCTCGGTTGAAAGGAGCCTCTTACTCAAAGCGTCCCTCACCATGTCTAGCACCTTTTTGTGGTCCTGAACAAGTGTGTTTTTTTTGGGGATTCAATCAACATCTATTTCAATAATATAGAATAGATTGTTGTGAAAAAAATGTCTTAGTTACCATCAAACATCTATGGTGTGCTGTACCGGGGATGTTCACAGGAAAGGACAGGAGACCTTCGACAAAATTTCTGAAGAGATCACTTAGCTTGACTGGTGATTCTTCTGGATCATAGCTAAATAGTTGCTTTGCACAAAAGTCTATAGACATCTGTCATGACCAAATATTAGAAGTGTTATAATCTCATAACAAAATATCACACATATAGATATGCTATTTCGGTTTATTTAGTGTGTGACAGTGTGTGAGTGAGCTTGAAGTTACTTTTGCAGCCTCGCTTTTCGCTTCAATGGAGTCTTGGTTCGACCAAGCACCAAGAGTTTTGCAAACCATTCCATTCAACTGAGGAAGAAGCTTCTCCTTGAGGGTGTCTACACCAAAGTGATTCAACACCAAGTTTCTCACATATTTTTTAACTTGAGCACCATTTGGCCTAGACTCCCCCTGTTCAAATATTTTGGCAAATGTGTCGAATGCCCATGATTCGACCAACTTCCCTTCTTGCTGGAGGAGAAAGTAGTTGAATTCAGGGTCAGCTGATACAATGACAGACCGACCTGCCACATTTGTTCGGAAGATTGGTCCATACCTGCATTGAGGAAGGAAAAAAATTAGTAGATGATGAACCATTTTCGTTCCGTATGCAAAAATGGAGGAAGTATTCATATCAGTTGATACAAATTCATCCACCCCCAAAAAAAGAGTTTTCTTTACAATGTTACTGATGACTTTTTTGATCAATGTTGGCATGTATTCCATAAGATATTGTCATTGGGTAGTACAAATTGTCTTTCCTTAAGTTATTTTTCGACTTCTATTGGGCATTAAAATGTGGAAAGAAAAACTAATTTTATTGCATTGCAAATTTCAAGAAGAAAGATAAAAAATAATAATAATAATAATAATAATAATAAATAAATAAATTAAAAAAAAAAATTAAGGCAATAGAAATATATATAGCAAAAGTTTATACAGTTTCAGTACCTATTCAGTCTTTCTCTTAAGAAAGGTGGAAGTTCCATAGAGTAACTGGGAATGATTAACTGAAGGGTCTCCCCAATAAGAGGGAGGCCCATGGAACCTGGAGGAAGCACTCCATTGCATTTGGGATTCCTCCATTTGTAAATCCAGTGAATAATGCAAATGGTAAGCACTGCTACAACACACAATCCAACTGACCACATTTTGGTTATATATATGTGTGTGTGTGTGTGTGTGTGTGTGTGTGTTTTTGTGTGGAAATGTGTCTGAGTTGATGGAAACAATTGTATAGCAAGCAAACAAGAAAGTGGTATGGTAGGAAGGAAGCCACAAATAGCAAACAAGGAAGAGACTAAATTGTGAACACAAATATACTAGAAACTGAACTTGTAAATGTAGAGAAACTGATAATGTTGAGTAAGTGGTATGTTTGAAGCATTTTATGGTGCCAAAAAGTAGAAAAAATCACAACCCCAAATCTCACTTTCATACACCCACCATTAAAAAAACTTTTATTTTCTCTCTCTTTGAGTGTGTGTGTTTTATTATTGTTGTTTTCAATAATTTTCTTCTTATCAGTACTCATATTGGGACAAGTCGTGTGCAGAGCCTCTCTTATTTAATCCAGACAAAAGACATAACAAAAATGTGCTTCTTGTGAATGGTGGTTCAAAGCTAATGGTGTGGTCATGGAAGGCAGAGACCGTCTAAAAATGATGGAGAAATCTTCCTTTATAGATTTATTCACAGAATGTTGAGTGGAGTTAATCACTACGGCCAAGACCACTCAACTCCACCATTTCTTTGCTATCATTTGGCCATGGGGCCAGATAAAGTTGAGGGGTCACTTCAAAAAATGCACCCTGCTTTTAATTTATCTACCACAATAGCAGCATCCGTAATGGCAGGAGGACCCAGTAATGACCCTGAACACCTTCGGGTCTACTCTGATGCCACTTGTAACGGGTCAAAAGTTTGCCATTTGATCTAAAAAGCTTAAGCTACTGCTCTTATACCCAAAACCCTCTATCTGATCTGATAAGGAACAAGAACCTATAGCTCTTGGATGTAAGTCGAATGGTACCAAACGAATCCGACCAGAATAGGAATTTAAACAATCGGATTGGTCTCATGTTTAATTTTCCAACTCGAGCCCGTTTTGCATTGGAATCGGGTTAGAGAAATTCTAACCAGAATCCAATTTGAGTTTTAATATATTTAAATTTCTGGTTGATGATGTGAGTAGCATATACCAAAATCTGATTCAAAAGTAAGCTCATTGACCAAAAACTTACCAGAATGGGTTTCTTTGGATGCAAATCTCCTCTTGAAACTCCTCAACAACTTTTGCTGGCGTTCCTCTTATGATAATTGGTACATTTTGTTTCTCAGAAACCCTAATTTAGTCATCGTCGTCCTGGTCATAGTCTTCATGTTCGTCTTCTTCTTTAGACTCGAACACTGGACCAATTACTGAAGAAGAGACCAACCCAAGACTGTCGTTGAGGTTCACGAGGGACCATAGAGTGTTCCGAGCCCTAATGTAGCACGGCTTAGGTTGGGGCTCTAACACTCCGGAAATTTTCTCGTTTTTCGAAAAAGACTTTGTACGGCGAAGTTCAGGGTTTGGTTTTGTTTCTTTGTTGTGTTCGGTGGTGGTAGTGGTGGTGGTTGTGCCGGGGACTTTGAAGATTTCTTTGAGCGCCTCCGGTGCGGGTGAATAACTAAACAAGAGGCAAGCAAGGCACGGGCCAACCCGTCCAATCTTGCAATTTGTCAAGTTCGGATTTGACAACCTTAACCTTTAGATTAGGGACCGGTTGACTACTTAAGTCGCATACGGTTGGATCGAGCGAGACCATCCCCATTATGCAATACAATACAGTAAAATCAAAGTCATACCAATCAGATAATTGACTCCGAAATAGCTAAGTAGACCATCCCCATAATGCACCAGAGAGACCATTACAAGCAAACAAATAATAGAGGAAAGGGTTCTTATTCAAAAGTTCCACAAACTTGAAGGTAAAAAAGAAAAACACACCCCAACGCATACATACAAACCTGCAGTGTATTGACGGAGACAAATCTAACTTTTGATATTATTTTACATAAAGTAATCGTTTAAATTCGAACGTTCAACCACGTGCACAAATCTCTATGAATAAAAAATATAAGTAAGAATAATCATGTAATTTGCGACCAAGACTGGAAAACAATCTACTAACCCTGAACCAACGCATAGATCCATACGGCATGGAGTTCTTAGCTATAACAGATAATTCAAACATTGGTAGTATAACCTTGGAACCAAATTATGACTGAATGTAGCTACAAAAATTTAAAATATATTTAAACATACAATTAATTCCTCTAATACCAAAGGATGTTCCAAAAGTAACTTCAGAGAAAGAGAATGTAATACAGAAGTTGAGCAAGACCAACCAAATAGTTACAAAGATTTTATTCTGGACAATAAATTTGTCTTACATGCCCACCAGGAGGCTACACTTACTGTGAACTTTGTACATACAAAATAAACCATCTAAGAATATTTGACTAAGATGCATAAAATTTTACAAAGAAGACACTTAAATAGCTTGAAAATCCTCCCCATCATTCCTCCTTTCAGAGGAAGCTTATTCAAAGGAATTCTAAGAACTGAAAATAGCGAACTCTTCAAGAATTCTTTTCTAAGAAAATATTCAAAGGATTCCAAGATCTGAAAATATAGAATACATTCAATTATTCTTTTCAGAGACTTTGAGGTGAAATCAGTTTGGAAATCTCATAATAGGAGATCGCATAACCTCACATCCGTTGATTTTTGTCCATCTACAATTACTGAAAAAAAGTAGTAGTTAATCCATCATGCTTGGCCGATTAAATGTGCATATATACACTACTTGAATATATGCCTCCTTTTTGAAGTGTGTGAATATCAAAGCTAAATCCCTACTGTTGAGACTCCACATGCAACTATACAAAGTATTAGGAAGAAAAATACCTGTATTTTGTGACCAAGACATGGATAAAGGGGGCAATAAACAACCTACTATACTCTGAACCTGCACATTGCTTCATGCCTGATCCAAATGGCATGAAGTTCTTTGCTATAACAGATGATTCAAGGTCCTGTTTTTTATTTCGAAAAAAAAAAAAAAAAAATGAAGTCTGATTCAATGTTTAGCTGCTCATGATCAAATCTCCCACCTTCCAACGCCTTGGGTTGAATTCGAGTGGACTCTCAAATTTGTCGGAGTTCATGTGAAGAGCAGAAGTGGCAAGCAAAATTACCCATCCTTCAGGAATTGTGTACCCTGGAAACAGAAATAGCCGAACTAGTTATCAATTTCAATCCAACTCTGCAGAAAAATTTAAAAAGCTAAACCAATTTTGACACGAGTGTACCTTTTACTTTGATATCTTTTATTGATTTTCTAAACAACCCTGGTGAAATATTTGCCAACCTAAGAATTTCATTGATTACCTGTACTTTACAATAGACCAGCAGGTTCTTTAGTACATCAATGTAGGTTATATTAGAAAGAAAAAAAAAACACTTTAGGAATTTCGTAATTGACCTGAAGTGTAAATGTCATTGATTTATATTCTTTCCAGGTGATTGGGGAATCAGAATTCTCTCTGTGTTTTTTTTTTTCTTTTGATAAGTCAGAATTCTCTGTGTTTTTAAGAATTGCCTCATGCTCAGCCTGATGAACAAACACCAGAAGTAATTGCCAGATAAGGAAGTTATATATAAATATAGCTCCAAAGTTGTAAAAATATAGTTGAACTTACAGTTAATTCCTCCAACACAAAAGGGTGTTCTGCAAGTAACTTTCAAGCTAATGCAATTGATGTTGATATCGAATCAAAGATGACAAATAAAAAGCTGAACATATGCTGAACAATGAAATCCTCTGTTAAGAACTTCTCGGTGTTCATGTCTTGAATGAAATGATCAAACAAGTCTCTTTGATGCCTCTCCGTTGACATGGCCTCCTCCTCAACTCATGCCTTATCATCTCTGACACCTTTTTGTGAATCTAAACAAGTGTTTTTTTGGTCAGTGTCAATAAGTAACTATTTTGATCATTCAAAACTGATTATTAGGTAAAGATTATCCCACTTACCTTTAAACATCTATGGTGTGCAGCACCGGGGATGTTCAAGGGAAGGGACATGAGACCTTGTACGAAATTTGTGAACAATTCACTTAGCTTCACAGGTGATTCTTCAAGATCATAGCTAAATAGCTGCTTCACACCAAAGTCAACAATCATCTGTCATGACCATATAGAATTGTTACAATCACATAATAAATGCATATGAAGATTCAATTAGCTTTTATAGTGAACGTATGAGCCTGAAAAGTACTTTTGCAGCCGCGCTTTTCATCTCAACGGAGTCCTGCCTTGACCAAGCACTAAGAGTTTTACGAACCACTTCATCAAACTGAGGAAGAAGCTTCTCTCTGATGGCTTCTGCACCAAAGTGATTCAAGACCAAGCTTCTCACATATTTTTGAACATCAGCACAATCAAACCTGGAGTCTTGTTCGAAAACTTTTGCATATGTGTCCAAAGCTCATGATTCAACCAACTTCCCATCCTGCTGAAGTAGAAAATAGTTGAATTCAGGGTAAGCAGTTACAATGACAGGTCGACCTGCCACATTTGTTCCGAAGATTGATCCATATCTGCATTAAGGAAACAATTAAGAGAGAGCGAATTATTTTCCATCCAAATGCAAAGTGGAGGAATTATTGGCATCATTTGATACAAATTCATCCAACCAAAAGAATAGTCATCTGTACTATGGTAGTAAGGACTCTTTTGATATTTATATATATTGTCGTCTTTTATAAGATACTGTCTTGGGGTACTGGGTAGTGTACAATGAGTTGTAAAACAAAGAACTCAATAAAGACACAAGAATAGGAAAGCAACCAACTGAAAGGAAGAACAGTATATGAAGACAAGGAACCTATGTATAAAAAGTGCCCAATTCTGTGAAAATCATAAATCCAAGGTTAAAAAAAAAAATAAAACATGATGTGATCTTTATGATCCATTGCAAAAGAATGTGGCATGTGTAATTGTAACACAATCAAGGGCAAACGTAGTGCACGAGGCTCCCGCCACTGTGGGGTTTGGAGAGGGTAGATGTATGGAATCTTACCTCTGCATGCAGAGTGACGATTTCTTTTTTTCGAACCGGTGACCTCCCGGCCACAATGGAGCAACCTTACCATGTAGTCATTCTCATGTAATGGTAACACAATGAAGGGTCAATTCAGTGACTTTCTAGGTACTAAGAGTTTTTATGTAGTCATTTTTGTGTTAACAAGAGTTCGATCCAGTGAATATGCAGATACAAAAAGAAACCAGTTCTACCCCATTGCTTTGAAAGGTCAAAAAGGACGTATGGAAGAACAAAATCAAAGTAAATAGGAATATATATATAGCAGGGTATATATAGTTGCAGTAGTACCTTTTCAGTCTATGTTTAAGAAAGGTGGCAATTCCAGAGAGTAACTGGGAATAATTAACTGAAGAGTCTCCCCAATAAGAGGGATGCCCATTGAACCAGGAGGAATCTCTCCATTGCATTTGGGATTCCTCCATTTGTAAATCCAGTGAGTGATGTTAATGAGAAGCACTGCTACAACACACAATCCAACTGACCACATTCTGGTTATATATATATGTATATATATATATATATGAACAAACAAGAAAGTGGCAAACAAAATAGCTACACAAAACAAGCAAAAACAAGGAAGTAAGTGTAACTGTGAACACAAATGTACATTATACAAGAAACTGAACTGGTATATATATGTATATATATATATATATAGAGAGAGAGAGAGAGAGAGAGTACTTAGAAAACCTGAATCATAGTTTCATCCACCATTTAAACTCTCTATTTTTATTTTTTATTTATTTATTTTTTGTTTCTTATTACTGTTTTTTGCACTACTATTATTTTTTCTTGTCAATACTCATATTGTGGATGCCTTCAATGCAGTTTTTTGTCTCCATTTTCCCTCCACTTTCAAAAAAAGGAAAGCCTAGTAATCATATAATAATAAGACTTGAAATGTGATCCACCACTATCTGGTATGTAGTCACATCAATAGACTAGTTCTATCACATGAATTTCTATGCATCATCCAATAAAACTTAAAATTTGGCACACATAAAACTCTAAGTTCATAATAAAATATCTTCTGCTTAA